GAAGGCGTGTGGCGTACGCCACGCTTTTATACCCTGGCAGGTGATGTCATCGCGCAAGCGGCGCGCATGCGCAGTCAGGGGCACGCCGGGAGGCGACGGTGGGAGCCTCCCCGCGGCCATGTTTGGGCCGAGGTAAAAACAGGAAGCACGCAACTGTAGCACGAATGAGTCATCTTTTATTTAACTTTATTTTTCAATTTTAATTTCCGTCGGACAGGGACACGAGCGTTTCTCTTGCTCTCACACAAACGGCAGGCCGCGGCGGCGCAGGTGGTCTTCTGGGGGAGCCCAGGGTGCTGGCTGAGGGCAGGGAACTGGTCAGAGCTGGAGCTCTCAGAGCTTGTCCCACAATCTCATCCAAACATTCAAAACACTCCCACAGTCCCCACAGTCTTAACCAGCACCCAGCTCCCCGCAGCACTAACATCTTTATTAGAGGAAAAAGCCACATTTACATCTTTCCCCAATCACTTGAATGGCATTGAAAACAGTACAGCTTCCAGAACAGAGACATGTTTGAACCACAAGGACAGCCGTTCCCAGTTCACGTGACTTACAGGGTTTGGTTTCCACTATGATCAGTAAAATGAGTCACCACCATCATCCCTTTGCCCTGCATTTTGAAAGCCGCACCGAACAATAGTTACACTTACAATATACAGCACAGGACAACTGAGAATGGGGGGTTTCTGCGATACAGCACTACAGAGCAAACATTTTGTTTCAAGTTCACAAACCAAGTTAATCTCAAGTTCCAAATATGATAGGGCCAGGCTGCAGATGCTGGAGAGACTTCCGACACTCTTGGCGTACTGTACTGAACTGCTGAGCGCTCCACCACACTTCCACCACACCACCTCCAGGATCTACGCCTTCAGTAACATTCTCAGTGTACAAGTGAGATACTCAAAATATCCTTAACAAGGCCTTTTTTCCCCCCCAAGTTTAGTTCTACTGTAACAAACTACATTCTAAATTACTCAACCAAAAAAAGGTGGGATTTATTGAATTTTGAATCCTGTGAGACTGACCTGCAGTAACCATAAGAGTCTGAACTGTCAACAAATTTGACGTCTTTACAGATTATGTAAAATTACCTGTATTGTGAAACTACAGACTGTGCACCATTTCTGGGTACATGGTGGATTAGAAAAAACCTGCAAGAGGCTTGAAAGCAGTTACGTTAAACAATTAAATTCAGCTAACTTCTTAAAAAAAACAGCCCTGAGAACATGGCTCAACTAGCAAGAGCCTAGTTGAAAAACCACCATTATAAGCAAAAATTAGAAGGATCTATTGAAATCTTAAAGTATTATTTGAGGCAGGAAACACTGCAGTCTTTCCAATTCTGTAAAGTAGTAAGAGAAACTCAATGAATTGGAGCCATAAAAAGATGCATGATTTGGAGTGGAAATACTTTTCTTCACCTCCTAGTTTTCACAGCCTTTACTCTAAGCAATTGCATCAGCTCTTAGAAGGTTATAGTTTTCAGTTTTGTCACAACTTCAATGTTAAGACAGTATACAAAACAAGTACATTGGTTAAGATTTGTTTCAAAGTAAAGCTATGAAAGAATTTCCCTAAGCATTTGGGATTTTAAAAACACGCATCTATGTGGATTACCGATCACACAGTTTGTTGCAAACGATTCTGACAGTAAACTGAAACATCTTACTTTGGAAAAAATGCCTCAAATACACATTCTAATTTAGAAGCAACTTTTAACTTTACTGAAACTTGGAGATTATGCTTAAGATTCATGCTTATGTATTACCTATGGGAAACTTCATGCATGATGAGCCAATGCTCTGCACTTCCACAGTGTTTGAAGTGCTTCACAAAAGACAACTAAGTATATAACAAACCTATAATGGAGTACTTAATTGTTTAAATCTTGCAGAACTGAAGGTTACAATAGGAGGACATCTGTAAGTCCCAGGGAGGGCTCTTCCAGCAAGCTGGAGGTCATAAAACATGTCTTTAGATTGCTGTAGTACCTGAAAACTCCAGTCAGACCAGGACCCCACTTGTAGGAACAGGACAAAAGCCAGCCCTCATTCCAGAAAGCTTAGAGTAAGTAAATGCTCAGATTGTGGGCCAGTGGCATCAAATACCTGCCTTCCAACAAGGTTTTAGAGGACAGACAGGCACCTGAAAGTAGACTAAAGCACTACGAGAACAAGGACAAGTCCAAGTCTTGTAGTTTTCAAGCATATTAGAAGTATTTGTAATGCAGTGATAGCATTAGAACTTGCATTAGTTTGGCATAGCGACCTATGACTTCCCATTTGACATCACACAGCTCAGCTTGCTGTCAAGGCCATCATCAGTGGATCCAGTCACCTCCAAAGCCAACAAAGCCTGTCTTTCAGGTACCAGTTCGATGGAGAGGCAGAAAGGAGCATAGTGTATACTAGCTGGAACTATTCAGCACACACTTCAAAACCATTCTGAATGCATTTCAATCTCTTGCATCTACAGCTTTTTTCAAAAGCAGATTTGCTATTTCAGTCAAGGTACTATTATAGAGTTCACCTGCAATGTGTATTGTGCTAGGCAAGAGCATGTGGCAGTATCCTACTTCTGCCAGGTGTCCCAGGTAACTGTGCTTTATTACCAAAGTATATTTATTGCTGTCTTTACCTTCATTGTACTGCTCTCCCTGTCATGAGAAGTCTATGGAAAATGCACATTTTTGCCATCTACCTTAGACCGCCAAGATTTGCTAAGCCCTGCCACAGTACATACAAGGGCAGTTCAGGACAGTTGCCAAGAGCCCTTTGGGGATTAGAGAGTACATACTATTAAGCTCAAAACATTTCAAGCAGTTAACAGCAACATGAAGTCTGACCCTCGCTGCCAACAGAGTGTGAATTGTGCGTGCTGTCCAGGGCAGCATGCCACGTGTTTACAAGTTGTCCTCCATTAGCCAACAGCCACTGAAGCTTAAGGCAAGTTCATGAAACAATTTATCAGCTGTGAAGAAAGGTCTGAGCCACGGACTAAGGGAGTTTCCCACTCATGAAGAGTCACCAAGTCTTAGAATTCAAGTTGAACGCCTTAACCAGGAGCAGGCTCGTTACCCGTCCATAGCTATTGCTGAGAAGCCTTGTTTGCCTGTTAAGCTACTGAATAGAGGCATGCATGCGTGTTTCAATGAGTCAGAACTCCATTGGATAGGAGCTAGCTTTCATAACTATGTAGCAATTTATTTACTTTTCTAGTTAAGCCATGGTTGTTCAGTATTGTCTAAGTCTATATTTTGAAAATACAATAGTTTGCTGTTTTAAAAAAGAATCACATGCATTGTTTAGGCTCAATGCTACAGTTTGTCCCACTTTTTGAAAAACATGTGGTCTCTGTGCTACAAAAATACGGTCTGAACCTGAAGATTAAAACCTAAAGCTGGAAGCACTGCAACAGATTCCCATGGAGTTTGTCACCCTTTTATAGTTTAAGTTAAATACAATAAAGGAAAAGCAATTGAACTGCATTTTTCTATTTTATTTTTCAAGTCTGACAAAGGCCTCGAGTGAAAGTCTATAGCTTCAACATCCATTCTCACCTTTGTGTCCCCTTGACCTATCTATGTCTTATCTACCCAATATTCCAACTGCCTGCCTAAACCACAGGTAGGCTTTGACACCATTTTATCATTACAATAAGCCAACAAGTTGGCAAAGAAGAATAGAGAGGTAATACAGTTAAGTTGCACATGGCCACTGGGGCTTGGTCAAGCCAGCTGGCATTTTTGATCACTTGAGTTTCTTGGTCTAAAAGTTGCGATTGGCACCTACAGTTCTGCAAGAGTCCCAATCCACAAAATACTTAAGCTTTAAAAAAAAAATTGCTACTTTTATTGTCAGTTCTACCTAAACATGTCAAGAAAAATACTATTTGTGCTCTAGGTCACTTTATAATCCTAGATACCTACCAGCTTCTCTAAAAGCCCCTGAATACTGTATTTTGTCTGTTCATACAGACAAACACTGTTTTGCTCAAGCAAATAAAAATATATCCACTAGTAACACCTGATTGGTTTCTTAGATCCATAGCTGAAACCCACAGGAATGTTAAAATAGCTACAATTAAGGAATTAAAATCTCAGTGATTTTGAAAACTGCCAGTTAGCCTGCAACACTAATCCAGAATCCAGCACTGCTTTTTAACAATTCAAAAAAGAAATGAGGTTGCTTGTGAAGGCCAGAGCTTTGGTGACAATAAGAACCAAATTTATAGATCTGTGGTTTGTCCAGACCTGAGCAGCTGCCCGAGCCTGGCGATCCTCTTTATTTGCAAGGCTTTATGGCTACAGCACATTCTTCATTCATTGCACTTATGACGGATATCTGGAAGAAAAGACAGATAGGTAAGCTCCAACTCATGCCATGGAAACGCTCCTAGAAGTTACAGACTTTCACATTTTAGTGTATATCACATCTCTCTCAAGAAGGAAAACAGAAGTTTAAGCTGGCAAAATTCAGTCATTAAAAGAATTTCCACAATATCTGCCCCTCTCACTGATTTGCTCTTCTGCTGCCTTCTTTGCCACATTGCCTTGGCTGGCAGCTTGAGGTTTGTACAACAGAGTAATACAAAAAAGCTCCTGCAATACAGCCAAACTAGCAGGCAGCATGGCCCAGCACAGACTACAGTCTGCAGAGCTACTTGCAGACAGGTTGCTAACACAGCAAATTGGACTACTCTGGCTGTATCACAAAGCTCTATACTTGGTCTTGATTAAGAAAGCTCAGAGGCCCCAATCCACACAGTGCAGACAGCACTGTTAGGATTTATCTAGGCATTAGAGAGACAGCTGTATCACCTCACTGACAACAGAGACAGGCTTGAGTGCCATATTGAGTGCTCTTATACAAAAGTCCTTCTGCATCTTGAAGAACCAATTCTTGTGCTTCTCACACACTTCTCATTAAGAGATACAAATAGTCAATACCAGAATAAGACAACTTCATTGTATAATCAAGTGGAATTAACCACGACTCTTCTTGTCTATACTTACCTGCACATCTTCATTGGCATTGAATTTTACTTCTATTTCTTTGCCGAGATCTCCTTCTGGCAACTTTAGATCCTCACGAACTTCACCACTTTCTGTCAGCAGGGAGAGATACCCATCCTGAATACCTATCAGCTGTGACGAGAAGTCCATTAGTAGCAAGTTTAACATCAGCAGACAATAGTAAGTAGCAGCTGAAGATAAGAAGATGGGACAGTGAACTCTACCTGTTACTTTAATTCTTTAGTACTGTGTTTGTAACAGTTTAGAATCTCATCTAAGTCAATATTTAACAACAGTTGAGAGGACTGAGAGTTAGAGGCAACTGTAGCAAAAGCCAGTCTGCTATCAGGAATCACCAGAACCCTGCTGGTTATTTCCAAGCATGTGGGGCACTGCAAAACCCATTAGATTTAGAAGATGTGCTCCTTCCAGGACAGTGGTTCAGCTTTTTTACATCTGTGAATTAGAAACAATAACTGGAATGGTGTTCACTGAACAGCATTGTTCCTATAAATTATATAAAGTACTTAACAGTTGAACTGTATCTTTCTCTGTCTTCATTTGTACAATGAGATACTATTGTTTGTAGTAAAGCATAAGGAATGAGTTAGGGAACATTCACCTACTTCTGGGCCACTTTTATAATGCTGTTTTCAGCCTAACCAAAAGCCCAAGCTAAGGAGAACAGCTATTTTGGCAGCATAGGTTAGGGAACATGGAATATGTTATCAGTACACCTAAAAGGCAGCCCTAACAAGTCTGATAAACAGCCAGAATTTCAGTAACAATAAGGACCCATGAACATGATAGAAAGATAACCAAGATATCATTAAGTATCTCTTGAAAGGTCTGAGCCCTAAAACAGGTGAGTCACACTTCATTTAAACAGCCTCTGCTGTCCCAAAAAGTTGCTAACACTGAACTTCCACTCTTGTCAAGCAATCGCAGCTTTCCAACTGATGTGGATGTATCAGTTCCTGATCAGAGCAACTCTCAAGACAATGAGAAGAGAGCCAACACATTACAGCTCAGAACCTGAATTGTGCTGCTTTTAAGAGCTCACCATCCATATCACAGAAAGCATTACAGAAGCCTGCCAAGTTTCCTCCGTGCATGTATTTCAGAGCAGAGCTCAGAAGCACCAAAATTACTTGCACCCAACTAAAGCCAGCTTCTGCACAAGAAGCAGAAAGTACTGCAGCAAGTTACAACTGGCATCAGCTGCAACTTGAGACTGTCTTGTTGATTCATCTACACTATATCAGGATGAAATTATAAATGGTAACTTATGTTTAGGTTCAAATTTACTTGATCTTGATTATCCTTTAACTAATAAAAACTTGCAGCAGGCATAACCTCTCTCCAGATTCTAAAGGATGTCAGTATGACAAAAAAAATAAAGAAATGACCTTACAACATGAGCAAGAAAAAAATGCTGTTCTGAATCATGTCCATCAACTGTCATTTCTAAAGACTGCTTCTATAGCATGAGGTCGTTAATACAGAAAGGAGCCCTGCACCAGTGAGTTTTAACAATTCGGTAAATGCTACGAGTTCACCAATGTCATGTCTGGACAGGCAAGTTCCTTTAATTCTGACAACAGTACTTTATTAATTAAAGAGACAAGTTTTGGGATGAAGAGAGTTTATGTGTGGTATTAGGAGCATAAAGCCTCTTAATGTGTGGGAGGACACAATGACTGTTAACTCACTTGGTAATCATTCCTCTTGATATTTGGAACATCCATGTTATGAGTCGATGGGCAAATATCTTCATATTTTTTACCAGTGAAGATATCAATACCAACCAAGTGGACCTACAAGAAAAGAGAAACAACACTGGTTACTGTTGGTCCTAGAAAAGCAAGATGGCACTGCCACGAGTATTGCTGGTTCTAAACATTTTTCCAAGAGCTCAGGTGTAATACCAGATTCTGCCTGCACCCTTAGCTTGCAATATGAAAGCAGACCAAGCACTGAGAGAAGGCCTCTTCTACCTTTTCACAGCACATTACAGAAACGCTAAATGGTAACAAAGATCAGCCACTGTTAACTTCCATAGCCTTCTGTAGTTTTACAACAAGCTAAAGCTCAGGGTATGTGGCCTTTAAGAGAACATTTACTTCAAGTTCTGGCTTTTCTGAGAAACAGAAGAGAGTCAGTGACAACCTGAAGGTTAAAGAGAAAAGAAGAGGTGGTTGTGCAGAGAGACTAAAGCAGCTCCCACCTCCCTTCGTGCTAGTAGCAGCTGTCAATTGCAGGCAGCACTTGCATTACCTGCTCTTCTCAGATCCTTTCACAACTGTTTCAGTATTTAAGAAAACTGAATCAATCCAGTAAAACAGACCACAAAAAGCAAGAGAAAGGAGCAAGGAAAAAAACTGCCAAGGGCTTGTTACACTCTAGCTTTGACAAATCCCAAGTGCTTCACCTACCTACATGTATCATACAAGGTTGAGGAAACTTACAATTTCAATTAGTCCATACTTGCAGTGGATCTGTCTCTAAACTTTAATACACCCAACCATAAGGTGTTGCTGAATGAATGAAGGAGCAGTCTAGCCTTGGTCCAAGCTCTGGACAGCTGCACAGGCCAACAGTGGCTACAGATGTCCCTGCTGGGACACAGAAGGAGGAAAGTTCTCCTCACTCAGCAGTAGGAAAAAGAAAGCAGCAGCAAGGCAAACCAGCAAAACAGGGCCAGAGTAGGCCCACAGAGGTAATGATTGTCCGCTGAGCTCCTCCGGATTACGTAACACAACGCGGGCACTTCTAGTAAGTGCTTAACTCGAGCGCTGCAATAGTGAAAGTCAGCTAGCACAGGCAGACACGAGAGTGCTTTGGTGGGTAGCGACAGCACAATCCAACCACACCCTAGTGATTTCATCAGCCCCCCCTTCCAGAACTTACTCTACCCTCACTGCAGAAACAGGTTTAATCACTATCAGCGTCATTTAACAAGCTGGGAGAAAAAAACCCAACCCAACCCTGGGTCCCAAATCCTTCCTGCTTTACATTACTGGAAACTCTCGAGCTAGCTCTGGGCTGAAATGACACACCAGACGCTGCTACGCACAGGCAGGACACGGAACGCTGCCAAATGAAATGCTACAGCCTTCCCCCCCGGCCAGTCACGCCGCTCGGGGGCCGGCAGCCGCAGGAGCACACCCTGCAGGCTTAGCTACAGACCAAGGCAGCTCACCTTGGCGTGGCCGTGCTTGCCCGTCTTGGAGGTGGACATCTCCACGATCTTGCAGGGGCGCCCCTTGAGCACCACGAAGCCGTTCTTCCGCAGCGCGGAGCACTGCATGGGGTAGGTGAAGGAGGCGCCGGCATCGCCCGTGGTGAAGTCGAGTTCGTCGGCCATGGCGGCGGGGGGCTGGTGGCGGGGGCTGCACGCAAACGAGAATGTCGGTTAGGAGCCCTAGCGGCGGGAAAGGCCGGGCCCAGAGCGGGGGAACCCAACCACCTCTGCAGGGAGGGGGCTGCGCGATA